TCATGAGGCACCATAATATTCTTGTTTCGGTTAAAGGTGCAATAACTAAAATTGAACCAAATCAATTTCTGTGAGACGATATTCGGACTCAAAATCCACTTTATTACTTTTTAACGAATTGTACTCTTGCGGTAATTTTAATTCCAAATATATTTTCGTGACCAAGTTTTTGGCGCCGCTGTCAGGGATTGAGTTTAGTTTGATTTTATTTACGTCAACACTAATTCGAACATTTTTTTTATTTATTTCATTTCACTTTAGTTATCTAAGTGCTACTATTGTCTTTCTTTTAGCTTTGTATGCGAAGGTCGTTAGATGCTAAATTGCTTCCAGCTAATCCAGATATCGAACGTACATTTTCATCGTAGCCAAAGGAAAGCAAGAGCGGTATAACAAAAAAGACCAAAAATAGCAAGTACGGATGGCTAACCAGCAAAACAATCGAGTAGTTCAGGTCAATGAAGAAGAAGCTGTTGATGAGGAAAATATGCTTATTGGGGATTTCATAACACCAAAGATCATTCAGAGTCAATACAGCATTGTCAACCCTCCATTCAGCAGCCTAATTTCCAATTGAGGACTAACGTTAGACATATTTTCTAGAATGGACATCAATTTTAAGGCAGAGCTGAAGAAAATCCACATACACACGTCTCTCGATTCTTGGAGATGTGTCAACATTTTCGATATCAGGGTATTTCAGACAATGCTATTAGATTGAGGTTGTTTCCAAACACTTTGCGTGATAAAGCACTTGAATGGTTGGATTCATTGTTCTAGACATAGAAGAAGACAGGGATATTCCAATAATCTTGGGGAGACCATTCTTAGCAACAAGTCGAACTTTGATTGATATGGAGAAAGGTAAGCTAATCTTGAGGATAGATGAGGAACAAGAAGTTTTTAAATTATATAATCCATCAAACAACCATCGGCCCTCAACGAGTGTAATTATATTGATGAAGATGAACTATCAATTCAACAAAATTGTCAGAAGAGAAAACCAAAATTTGGAGGAATTCTTGGTAGAGATCAGAACGGAGAATTCAAAATTTGGAGAGCTAAAAGAGGATATAAGGCTGGAAATGGCAAGGAGTACAATGGTAAAATTTTTCGACTTGAACCACCATGAATCAACCACTATAAAGTCGAGCTACAAACGATAAACAAGCGCTTGTTGGAAGGCAACCCAACATTTCTTCCCTTTTATTTATTCGATTTTATGCATTAGATTAGGAATTTTTCGTGTTTATGATAATTTTTAATAATATTGAGACATTCATCATCTTTACAGGTTACAAAGAGTCTATGCATGGTCCACGCTACTTTTCTTCCATCATCTTCACATCTACGTTGATCAGGAGAGTACGCATTACCTTTATTTTGGTAACTAATTTTGTTTTTGTCCTAAACTTTTACATTTCACTAAATCTGCTACACATTGAGGACAATGTATTGTATAAGTTTGGGGGTGGTAGAAGAATTTTCACGACATCATGGTTATTCATTAATATTTTTGTGAACTTTATCGCTTTTTGTGTGATTGTTCTTGTGTTGAAAAAAAATAGTAGTTTTTACTTATTAGTATTTGCTTATTGTTTTGTGTGCTTGTGTGGGTTTGAAGACCTTGCCGACAATGATGTTGAATGTTGGAATAAGTATGGGCTATGAATGATGGAAATATTGCGTGTTTAGATTAATCAATACTTGTTTATGTGAAACTTGACATTCTTTGTGCACGACACTCATGTTTTACATATGAAGTGAGTGATTTGGCTCATTAATTACACAAGAGTTGAACCTAGTAAGTTAAGCCCGAATAACCTCTATTGTATTAATCCATAATCCATTTATAGGGTAGTTTGGAGGTGATTGAGTTGTTACAAGGGAGCATTAAGATGAGTAGGGATTTTGTGCATGAACATTTTCTTGTGTAGATTGTCTAAACCAATTAGACAAAGACGAAGTGAAAGTCTTAAGTTAGGGGTTTGGTTTTAGATGTTGAATGTTTACAAGAAAATGGGCATTGCACTAATCTCTATGTGAATAAAAGCATTTTTTTCGAGCATGTATAACTTGAGTGAATAAATCTGTAACAGTTTAAAATCTGGTCCAAATCTTGCTACATGGGTTATATAGAAAACAAATGAGAAGATGTTTGAAAACAAAAAAAGTTTAGAAGGAAAAAAAGCAAAATTACATTGATTAAGCTCCAAGACATTTGGTTGATATAACTATACCTTTGATACGATACAAGTAGCTTAATTTAATCTTAAAGGTTGAGACAGTCAAAAATATAGGAGAATCTTGACTTGTTGAAATGTGAACTTGTGATAGTAATATTCATCCAAACTAAGAGAGAGTAAGGAGTAAAATTAAATAAATTCAACTTAGGATGCACCCCGAGAAAATTGAGTGAAAAGAATAAGTTTGGGGATGTGTATCTCTCGAGAGAAGCAAGGACAGATTTGACTATTATGGGTCAGGAATTGACCAATTATGTGTTTGATATGTTTACATGAGTTTAACCCATACACATCAAGTTTTGCATGTAAATGGCAGAGGTTGATTTGATTTTGTCATGTTGAAATTATTCATTGTATTGATAGCTAAATTCTAAATTTTCAATCCTGAGACACGACAAGTTGTTAAATCGTATTTTGTTTGGAGTTAAGTTACAATTTGTTTGAGGACAAACAGTTGTTCAAGTTGGGGGATTTGATAAGTGTGTGAAACACACTTATTTAGGCTACAAAATATAGATAATTGTTGGTCACTATATCGAAATATGGCTTTATTTTATATAAATTGCGTTTTGTAGGGTAACATTTATGAACATGGAGGAATTTAGGAAAAATGAGCGAAAAAATGACAAATAGAAGAAAAGCAAAGTTCAGGGACCAAAATGCAAATAGTCAAAAGATGAACTGGGAGAAGAAACAAAGATGTGAAGGATTCAAAAACCAATAGAGCAAAGTAATGAAGTCTTGGAAGAAGAAAAAGTGAAAAAAATAGATCAAGAAACGAGAAAACGGAGTTCGAGGACCAAAATGCAAAGAATGGAAGTTTGCGTGAACTATGCAATCACATAATTCATCTTACATGCGGTCGCATATAGTGCTTCAGAGAATTTCGGGGAGAATTTAAATGAACTATGCAGTCGCATGGAACAATTCCAAAGGAAAAAATCTGGTTTCCTTATTTCAATAAAACTCCTATGGAAACAAATCTTATGGCGTCTTTTAAAACCTTAGAGCAGTCCAGACGCAAGAAAACATATTTTTAAGAGCTTTTGGAGGAGAAAATGAGGCAAGAACGTGAAGATCGACTTCAAGAACACGAAGATTCAATTCAAATTTAATCGAGTGATGTCGATTCTTCATTATATCTTTTGTTTTCTTATTCATAACATGTTAGGCTAGTTTTCTTTATATTGGAGAACGATAAACCATATAATATGAGTTTTTAATTTTATATATTTGACATTAAAAACACGTTTTTGAATATTGAATGATTTATATGATTTTCTTTTCTCCATAATTATTGTGCACGTTAGTTGTGTGAATGTGATGACCTGTTTTATGCATTCAAAAGAAGGAAAATAGATTCAACATATATAAATTGTCATAGGGTCCGATAAGCGATAGATATATACCGATATACCTTATTCACATCTTTAAGTGTTCATAAAAATTCATGCACTTTTATATGTTCCCAAGCATCATAGAAATATAGTTAGGTCATATATAAAAGTAGGTTTAATATTACTCGAAAGAGATTATTAAATAAAATATGAACATTGATTAGTCAAATTCAATCGTGTTGTCAACGTATAAAATTAGGGTTAAAACTGATTATTGTATCGGAATTTGGGATCCTAATATATTTGCCATTCATTAAAACAAATTAAACTACGTTTAACATAATTTGCATTTAATTTATTTAATTTACTCTTAATCGTATAAGTAGGTTAATTTAGATATAATTTAATCATGACACCCCATATTATTCTTGTTTCAACTAAGGGCGCGATAACTAAAATTGAACTAAATCAATCTCTGTGGGACGATATTCGGACTCAAAATTCACTTTATTACTTGTTATCGAACCATACACTTGCGATAATTTTAATTCGAGATATATTTTCGCGAACTTCACTCGACAAAATTGTAAAGAACTTAAAAAGGTTTTCGTATTGTACTTGCTCACATAATCTAACAACCAAGCTGATTGTTAAGCGGGTTGTCATAGGCTCCTTATTTCTCCTCTTTTTCAACTAATTTATGATCTTCTCTTTTAATTGCTCTACTCAAATATGCATGAATTCTTCTTCTCTCTTTAGTACCCACAAAAACACTAGTCGAACTCCAAAATCCATCCTTATGTTCACTTTCATCCAAAATACTTGCATATCTAGTAACAAACATATGTTTAAAGCAGAAAACTCAATGAAGGAGAAAGTTCATCATTTATAAATATAATTACGTATTAAGAAAGACTGAAAAATAAAAAGAATCTTCAAATAAATAAATTTTAAGAGTAGTTTTCATTTTCTGCATTAATTTAATCCTTAAAAAATTCCCCATCTATTAAGAATATGGTTGGTGCACGTATTAATCAATAAAGGATTAAGAACATAAAAAATGGAATTATAAGTACAATTTTTAATGTTCTTTTCACCATTTCATTAACTTCCAAGCGTGAAAACAAGATGGCAATTGACAGACAAAATCACTTCTTAAGTGTTCAAGTTTCAACAGCAACCCACAAGCCATTTTCTTCGCACAGCATAAACACAATATAATACAGCGTGCACGAGACGGGTGCACGAATTCACGAGCCATTTTTGGCACTATATTACAGGTTGAGGCCAATTCTTGCAATTATGTACCTATGCCTCGTATGTCTTATTCAGCTGAAGTGAGTTTTGACCAAGTTTTATGCAATGATACATTGGAGATAAATAGATTTAATGTTTCTCCCAAGCATGAGTAATAAATTTAAGCAGGGACAGGTTCAGGTACTCTGCCATCCCCAGAGGGAGCCAAACTGTCATAATAGTCGACCAAAACTTTCCAGCCACCTGGGCACATGAATCCATCGGGAGGATTCTCCCCTTTCTTTGCAAGTGTTCGCATCTGGAAAAAGGCAATCATTCAGAAAATGGATAAACAAAATCGTCGAACAAAATTAACGTGAAAAACTTAATTTTATCTTATAATTGGATTGTCCTCGCATCAAAACATCAAAATTTCTCCTACTCTTTCTTTGAGCAAATCTGCTAATAATAGAATTACCTTGGTACCAGATATGAACAGAAAGTCTTGAGGCCTTGATGGATCAAAGAATGCCATTTTACCCTGAGTCTTGTCATAAGCAGCCACCTGAAGTTCATCCGTAATAACCAATAAATATTCAAGATTTCTTTTTTCTACATCATGGCAGTAAACTTTTTCATTAACGAACGGAGCGCACTTTGGAAGCAGTCTGTTACCGAGCCAGCCATGTTATTGGGAATAACAAGAGCATCTCTCAATACTCAAAGTTTCATATCTGAAGCGAGTTTTGAAGAAACTGCTCTGGTTTTAGCAAAAGAAGCATAGGAAGAGAATACTACAGATTTTTTGTGACCAATTGAACCCATAATAAATACGTCTTAGTATCATTTTTGTACCTTGAATGGAAGAATGTTAAGCCGCTCCGATCCAGGAGCCATACTCAGCACCTTCTTACCATGATCTGCATCATAAAGATCTCTTTTCTCAAGTGGGTGGCTCATGCCAGCAGGGTCCCGGCCTACTATGTAGAAGTTTGCACCTGCGTTAATCCTAGCCTTAGCGTGCCACTGCACCTCAGTTGGGCCAGCATAGTGCATTGGAGATGGGAATATAGAAACTACTGTAGTCTCTGGATCAAGAACGCCATCCTCAAGCACCTAAAAGAACAGCTAAAATATGAATAATTAGTATATAGATGGAACATTTTCGATTGTACCAGTTCATACAACAAATTTTCATCCCAAGTCATCCTATAATTTTGCCATTCGTTGTCGATTTAAATGAAAAGATTCTATAAAGGCACATTCTGTACAATATATAGATACTAATGAAAATCAACATTGAAATAGAGCATGTTTGGCTATTCTTAAAAGTTCACTTAGACGTGTTTAAGTTAAGTTGGTTAAAATATTCTTTGTTTGATCTAAATTACAAATAAGTTGCTTTTACTTATTTCTTAGCCTAGCTCTGTTAAATGGAACTTCAGATAAAAGAATGAATCGCATCGTGATCAGCAAAAGTTCTAACATTGTACCTAAACATTCTTTGTCCCATAACGAATTGTGTCATGATCAATTTGACATGCTGTAAAAACAAATTGACTCTAAATGCTTAATAGTTGTAGAAAGATTATGAAGAGAAGCACGTGAAAGGAAAAAAAAAAAAATTGGCTTTTCATTTATAGGTAGGTAGTAACAAAATATATTTAAGAACGGACAAACCTTCTCATGTTGCTTCATTCGCCAACTAAGTGGAACATCGTCTGCTTTTGTATAACCTCCCAATGGATGAAGCAAGAGAACAGGATTCTTATATCCCATTTCCAAAAGCCGACGGCGTGTGTCGGTCATCAATAGAGCATGCCCATTGTGCACGGGATTTCTGAGCTGGAAAGCAAAAACAGCATCTGTATCGCGTCTCAGAAACTCATCACGGAGTTGTGACGGGGAAAGCCGGAAGCGATCAAGACCATCATTGTACTTGATGGGTTCTATAACCTCTAAATCACCACCAATCAGCCAGTTTCCAGCAGGGGCAATAGCTTCCTCGACATAAGGTAGACCATGTGCAGTGGTACCCCAGGTTCTTGCTATTCTTTCTTCTTTGTTATGCTTGTAAATTTCAATGCTACAGTGACAATTTGATTTAAGAAGAATAGAAGATCAATAAAAATACCTGACAAGCAATTGTTCTACGTATATCTATGTATTAAAAGAAAAATCAACACATGAAAAGAAAAGAGTTGAAATTTCAATACTTCTCAAGAACATTCACTATTGATTAAGAGTACAACATGCATGGCTGGAAGAAAATGATAAGAGAGAGTTTATCTATAGCCAAACTACCATAGATGATGGTAAATGAGTTCTACAGAAGCAACCCGTAAAACTAATTAGAAACCATTATCCATAATTCTGTCACTGATGAAACTTACTTCATAACCACCATCATGAATAAAAAATTCTTGGCCTTACACCAAAAGATGACATGAACAATTATTTTATCTGTATTCTTCTATAACCCAATCTGAATAATTTCCTATTCCAAGTATAATGGCAGTTGAGGTATCTATAGGTTTTGTACAGGGGTCATCGTTTGCAACTAGTCAATCATATATTTTTAGGATGTCAATAAGATTACATGATCTGCTGGTATACTATTCCACTGAATTTCGAACTCAACTAATCTATTCGCTAAAAAATGTCTTAAAACTCCTTGGTCTCCTATCAGATGCGTGTTAACTTTCAAATTATATAAAATTTCCAATCATTTATCTTTCCATCTGTTACAATGGGGGGACCTTGCCATTGGAAATATCCATTCGACTAAAAATAGTTCCAACATCTTATCCGACCATAGGGTTAAACCTTGGAATATTACGTGTCTCAAAACACAAGATTTAATAATTCATTCCAACGTCCAAAATACAAAAAGAAAATTATTAAGGAGCTAAAAAATAAATATCATTAGCATTAAAATTCCTACCAACTCCATACACGAACATAAAGACTCGTGTCATATAATTCATCACTCAAAAAAAACATAATTCCAGAAAAAAAATGTATACCTGACACAATTAGGAGGTGTATTCAATTGAAGCCCCGTTTGATACCCATTTTTTATCTCATTTTCATTCTCATTTTTCTACAGTACTCATTTCTAACCACACATTCTCCAAATAAAATAATATTACACATAAATCCAAAAATTCTTCTTAATTTTTAACCACACATTCTTTACATCAATCACTATTCAAAAACTCATTCTTCAAAAAAATGGGTGGCAAACACCCACTGAGACTTTTAATGTTTTGTTAGGATTTAAAAAGTTTAGGGGTATTCAATGTAGACTTTTGGTGACTCTTTAAAAGTATTGGTGTATTCAATTGAGACATTTATAAATGTTTAAAAAGTCACCAAAAGTCACTAATATTCAAATTTTAATGACTTTCAAAAACTTCTATAAAAGTTTTCATGATACTAACTTTTAAGTAAAAAGTACTAAAATAAATTCTTAAAATTTGTCAATCATAAATCGCAAGATTTTGAGAGACTTTCACCAAATAAATAAATAAAAAGAAAAGAAATTAATATATATTTTCTTTTTTAATATTTCTCATTCTTTTTTCATTTTACGAATATTAGAGTTATGATTAAAATTTATTTTTTAACCGATTATATTAGTTTCATTATTTTCTCTTTCTCTTATTGTTTATTTCTATTTTCTATAAAAAAAAATTAAATTTTACTAAAATAACTTTTTTTTCTTTTTTCATTTATTTTTTTGTGAAAAATGTCTATTTTTAGAGAGTGTTAGGTGGGGATTAAAATTAGATTTTTAGTAGATTGTGATAAAAAATTTTAAAATGTGTGGTTGAAAAGTTGTGGGACCCATGAAAAATGTGATTAATATTAATTGTTTGATTTTGACTTGGATTTAAATCGGATTTGACTTAATTAAATTATAAAATTTTATATAGACTAATTTATAATTTAAATATATATTTTTATTTATTATATTAATAATACTGAATATTAAATCAACTCTTTTGAATTCAGTGAGTTTTTATTTTCCTGTTGGAATTGAAATTCCTTTTCCCGTCAAACAGATCCTTAAAAAAAAGTCACCAAAATTTTCAAAAGTTCCAATTCAATACACAATTAATCACTAAAGAAATCAATAGAATTCAGACCAACAGTTTTCCATAACCGCAACTCAAGAAAAAAATGGGGAAAATTGTCTTACTCATTCAATATAGCAACCAGGTTGTCATTCTGATCCACGAGCGCAACGCTGGTGGACGACTCGATCTGGCCCTTCTGGGCATCATCAATGGCCAGAACGATCGCGACCGACATGTTCACGACCGACCCGTCATTGAGTCGGAGCGAGTTAAAATGAAGCGTTTGGAGGAACTCAGACTCTCTCATGAACCCCTTCAATGGGCTGGCCCACCCCTCGCTGAGCACATGGACCCATTGAAGGTCAATCATGGAGAGTCTGATCTGAGGCAAGCCCATGGCCTGCTTCAATTTCGACTCTTTTTCAGATTTTCGAACAAAAAGCTCGACAAGTCTGTCTCCATCCGGGTCAATCAGGGAGGCAGAAATCTGGGTATCGAATCGGATTCTGGCGGAGAGGCGGCGGCGGAGGGGGAGGTTAAGGGGTGGGGCGAGGTGAGTTTTTGCCAGTTTTGGGTAAGAGGCCGAGGAAGGTGCGACAGTGTTGAGGAAAAGCGCCATGGCTGCCATTTGGAGCGGCAGAAGGGATCTCTCTCTCTCTCTCTCTTCCATCCTAGTGCCAGGGTGGTTGAAAGGAGTTTGGAGGGAGACAGTGTGGATGGCAGAGAAAATGATATTTTACGAATAATAAAATTAGGAGAGGGTAGTTTTGGAATTAAAATTTAATAAAGCGGGAATATTAAAGGAACAATAATTTGTCCTTAGTGTTAAAGATTAGGATAAGTTGGGAATAAATTGTGGCAGAGTGGTATTTCAGGAAAGTAAATTGTATAAGGGGGTATTTTGGGTATGAAATTATTGGGTGGAATTCTGATGTTGGATATATATGGGGTTTTTGAGTGGAGTAATGTTATTCATTCTCGGTGAGGACGAAAATACAGTCTAGGTGGTTATAAATAATAGGTAAAATGAAATGACTTATTTAATTTCACCTATCATTTAATGTCACATTAGCGTCATCTAAACTGTGTTTTCATCCCCAATGAGGATGAATAGCAATACTCTTTTGAGTGGGATGGTAAAATTTGGGAGGATGAACCTGGGCAATGTTTTATTAGGTAATCTTTTAATTAGTTTTCTATTAGCGTTGTTAATGCTAATTGATTAGAGCACTCCCATTTAATTTACTTGTTGCTTAGAAGGGCAAACAAAAATTGAGCGAATTGTGGGAAATGTCCAATTTCTATATCCTATTTTGAAAAGAGGAAATTGCAAAACACTTACACATGAATGTCCCAAATTTGTTTCATTTGCTAATTTGTCCGCTTTTGTCAATATATAGACCAAAAGGCCCTTGGTAATAATTTCAAATTCCACCGAAAAGACAAAATTTTTCATATGAATTAAAAATTATGTTGACAAATAGAATGTTGACACATAAACTATATGTTTGACACGTAACCTATTAAAAATGTCGCAATGTCAATCCATTCATTAAATGCTAACATCTACCAATTTAAATACTTCGTTTTTGCCAATGAAATATCCAAAACATCTCAAGTTCGCTATGGAAATGTCGAGTCTTCTATACAAATCTCGAGTTTGTTGTGCAAATATCGAGTTTGATGTGCAATTCTCGAGTTTGATGTGCAAATATCGAGTTTTCTCGACTGTCTTAACTTCAAACGCACTTAATTTTTGGTCGACAACTGTCAATTACATTTTTTTTTGCGCTGAACTTTAAATTCAATTATCTTAATAGTTGTGTATTATTTACTCGACGGATATCTATGTAACAAAAGATAAAATTCGAGGCTTCACAACATTTCGAGATTCTCCAACATTTCAACATTTGACAACATCTAGAAATTTTCTAATTTTCGAGATTACACTAATTTGGGATTTTAGAAAATCTCGAAATATTTTGAAATTTCAAATTTAGTGTAAACTCAAAATTTGGTGACTACCCAAATGTTGTGAAATCTCGAATTTTCATATATAAACTTTAAATCGTAGAATCTCGTAGCAGATTATGCATATTGCTACTTAATATATTGTATATATTGCTTTAATAGGTAAAGTTTGAAATGAAGTACGGGTATAAAAAGATCAGAAGAGGCAAAATGTGGAACTTACATGTAGAGCATGTGAGAAAATTAGTATACAACTTTTGTTAAATAGATTTTCACCGAGTAAATAATATATCATTGGAAAGATAATTGAATTTATAGTTCAACACAAAATATTGTATAATTCAGAGCCGTGGATCAACAATTATGCATGATTGAAGTTAGGCAGCCGAGCAAACTTGAGATTTGCTTAACAAACTCGAGATTTGCCCAATATAATTGAGACTTTCACAATAGACTCGATATTTACCCAACATTATCGACTTTTGCATAGCAAATTCGAGGTTTTCGTCGTAAACTTAAGATTTACCTAGCTAACTATTCAAATATCCACAAATTTGATTTTTTATTCGGCGAAAACATTCCATCTTACCCATTCTACAGTTCAACATTTAGACTAAAATTCAACATTACATTAAAATCCTATGTTCGAGTTTGCATATGTATAATTCGAAGTTTGATTTTCTACAAGGCGCTTTCTAGATTTCTATTTCTATTTTCATCTAGTTTTTCCTCTAATTAGTATTATCCGATGGTTAATAGAATGTATGTGTGTGTATATATATATATATATTTGATAACTTTCTGTCAATACTGATGAATAGGATTGGGCAAAAATAAACAAAATCTCTCTAATTGACCAAACCAACTGGTTTGAGTTGAATTTTAAGTTTAATTGGCTTGGATTGGGTTAAAAAATCAAATTTAATGTCGGGTTTGGTTGAGTCTCAAGTTTTTATGAAGTAGAAATTACATGGAAGCCTACTTTTAAAAATTACATTTCTAAAATCAGATTTAAGGTTTGTTTATATAAAAATCAAAAATAATATAATTTTTAAATATTAATACTAATCTTAAAAAAATAATTTAATCTACGTAACCACCATCGAACCCAAACCCTAACCATAAATCATTTTTTATTTCTATTCTCTTTATCCACCCTCTACGTTGTCTCTCTTCTACTGCCACCAAGAGACCCACCTTTGTCTCATAGCAGGCGATTACACACAGTAGTAGCGTCGTCGAAAGCCACAACAGCAACGTCGCGAGGCGCCTCGAGCATGACAACGGCAGCAATGCCATCGGAAGCCACGGCACAAGCCACCGGAAGCCACAACAGCAACGACGCGAAAGCAGGAGATGACAACGCCGCTGTGTGCGGTGTTGCAGCAGCAGCTGTGCGCGGTGCCTCGCGCAAAACGCCGCTCGAAGCGACCGTTCTTTATTCTTCCTGTTCTATTCTGTTCTGTTTCGTGGTGGTTGTAATCGTTGATGTCGCCACGGCTACGATGGTTGTGCAATGATTTGGGATGGGTTTTGTGGTTGGTGTTCGCAGGTGGTGTGGAAAGCAGAGTGTTTGTGACCAATATTTGGTTATTGTGCAATGATTTGGAATGGGTTTTGTTTGTTGGTGTTTGCAAGTGGTGTGGGAAGAAGATTGTTTGTCACAAATATTTGGTTGATTGTGATCATTAAATAACTTATGACTAATTATTTGATTGATTGTAATCAATAATTTTTTTAATTTGCGATGAAGAAATAATATGTGATCTCAAAAATGTGATTGTGACTTACAAACTATTAAGTTGTGATCGAAAAATTATTTGTGATTAATTCATTTGATAATTTGTGACTATTAAATAAGTTGTGACTCATAACATTTGTGATTTTTTAACGTTGAATAAATTGTGACTTATAAAATTGTTGATTTATGATCGAAAAATAATTTGATCTGTATCCGAGAAATAATTCGTGATTAATTAATTCATTAATTGTGACCAAATTATATTAAATCGTGAACTTGATATATTTAATTATTAAAATATATTTTTAATTAATTATTACATAAATAAAATTTAATTAATATTTGATTTTTGAAGTTTTAAACCTCGTTTTTTGAATTTTGAAATGAACCGTACTTAAATATCTTACATATGAAATTTTCCCTTTTGTGAATTAAAATTCAACCCAACTTGATGAATTAAAAAAAAAAATAGTAATAATACCTAAAATGAAAAACATAAATAGACATAATAGTAGAGATCAAAAAAGTACTTATGGTGTACAAACATCTCTCTCTCTCTCTCTCTCTCTTTTACATAGATTGATTGTTATGAATATTATGTACTAATGTAAAGTTATTTGACGATAAACTAAAAATTAATGACATGTTGATGAAATGAATGAATCCCTTAAAAAATTGTTAAAAAGAAATATTCTATAATTTCAAACTTATTTATACATTATTTTTCAAAAGGATTCCTTATGTAGGCTAACAATAACATGGGTTTTTAAGTGATTTCAATCTTTTCAAAAATTGTCCAAAATTAACAAAAAAAATAATCGGATCCAACTTGAATTGGTTCCAAGTCCAAACCGACCAACATAATCCAAATCAACCCAAGCTTGATCAGTTTGGATTGGATTATGTTAGATTTAAACCAATAATTAAGTCTGATTGATTTGATTTTAGATCAAACCAATCATGTTGTGTATGGTTTGAGTTGGCTAAAAAATTAACCCAACCCAACCCAACCCAACCCACCCCACCTCTAGCCCTACGGATGAAATCAAATGTCTAAAAAAATTTGTTTGATATACTTGTTCGGTTTATAGAGATAGTGGAAAGTATTTTTAAAAAGTTGGAAAAGCATTACGAAATTTATATTTTGGTCGCCCTTATCACATCAAGCTACAAGTCAATAATGATATGCATGCCGCCGCCTTGAATAAAGAAGTTTCATTCACCGCTGAGGTCGGCAGGTCAAATCATTGTTTCACCTAGAATATAGTTATCACCTAGATCATAATTGTTTGTTGCCTAGATAATCATTATATTCTTCTGATTGGCCGAAGAGGAGACACTGACATCAAAAAGTAACACTTGTCCATTCAAGGTTGGTCGTATGAGAAGTGGTGACATCATTAGTAGAACACAATTTCAGGGGTTATGATAACACTTATAGATGATGGTGGTGTGTGACTGAGCTAATTGGAAGAGCTCATGATTTGACCTTAAACTGTGTTATTATTATACTGCTTTTAATCTTTTGAAGTGGGACCAAGGTGAATTTTGAGTTCGATCACACACACATATATAAAGTGGTTGGGGGAACATGTGTATATATTATTGAAATGACTCGTGAGATCAATTCATAACTTAAAATCAACCGTTTGGGTTGACATGCCAAACATGTCACAAGCAATTCTATATATGTATATAAATGACTAGTACTTGTTGCAGTATTTGACACGTCACTATAATAGTCTTAAAGCTTAGAGGGTGTTTTGTACCAATTATTTTTTCTTTAAAAAAATTTCTCACATGTTCTCCAAATAAAATAATATTACACACAAATTTAAAATTTTTCATTACTTTTCAATCGCATTTTACCATCAATCACTATTCTAAAATTTATAATTTCCCAAAAATGAGTGCCA